AAACTTTATAAAAAATCAATTTATTCGTAAACAAATGCTTTTTCTACAAAAAAATTCTATACGCAATCTTTAAAAACTAATAGCAGATTTGAATTCCTCGAGCTCGAAAACCTTTGGTGAATTTTATTTTACGTGGTGGAATGAATCACTCAGGTGATACTACGATCGAACGAACATAGCTCACTTAGCGTATGACCCTCGTTTCAGTAGAGGGAATAAATTGGCACCCCTACTCCAAAGTCTACGAAGAAAAAACAATTGGCTTGTACAAAATACAAGATGGTAAAGAAACATTTATTAAGCGCGTCATTACGATCATGAGGCGTTGTTAATATTTTCGACGCAAAAAAGAAATACGTATATATATATATATAGATAGATGTGTTGAGGTGAACACGCGTCTATCACATGTTGTAAATGTCTAAGATAATATTATTAATGTTGTTGACATCCTAGCACAAAGGTCAGCAGAAATATATACTGATAAGAATGTTGAGACGAACAGGCGCTTATTGCATGCTATAAATATCAGAAATATATTGCTAATGTTGTTGAAAGTCCAAAGGAAAGAATGAGAGGCGTGTGCCCTCAGAAACATACCGAGAATTAATATTTTTGTCTCGTTTCCCATATGGTATATAAACGAAGAGGTTACTATGAAAAACATAGAAGACGGCGAATATAATATATATAATCAAGAAAAGAAAACAATTCCATTAACATCAAATGGAATCTACAGTATTATTTTTTCTTACATTTTTCACAATGTTTGACAGTAAGTTAAATTGATTCTATTTATTCCATTACCATCTGGTTATGTTTAGAATTTAATTGTGCAAAACTTGTGTCGAAAAAATCTACCTATAAAGGGTGTTTCATAATAACTGACTATAAATTATTAATGATATTTTTTATACATTTTTTGACGGTCAGAGCTGAAATTTTTATCACACGTATATGTAATCAAGATCTATTATTTCTGAAAGTTTCAACCATCTAGCTTTAACTAGTGGTGATATACATAGACAAAATTGAAGTACAAAAAAAAGTGTCTCTTAATAATTGAGGAAAAATTTGTTATAGATTTCTTTAATACTTTTTCTTGACGTAGAGAGCTGGAATTTTTATCACCTATATATCTTATCAAGATCTTTTATTTTTGAAAGTTTCAACTTTCTAGGTATAAATAATGGTGAAATACATCGACAAGATTGAACAAGATACATTTTTGTACTCGTTTTTTGCATTTTATTTTCACAGCGAAAATAATACAAAAGTCGAGTAGAAAAATTTATGTATTTCAGTGTGCTCAGTATATTTCACCACTAATTAAAGCTAGACGACCGAAACTTTCAGAAATAATAGATCTTGGTTAGGTATGTATGTGATAAAAATTTCAGCTCTGTTGGTCAAAAAAAAGTATAAAAAGTATTAATAATTTATCGTCAGTTATTATGAAACACCCTTTATAGCTGAACCAGTTGGCAACCAACCCCATGGTTATGGTATACGAGGGTTTTATCCTTGTGCAATATATGTTGATGGTTTCTATTGGCCAGGATATTATTGTACAGGCCAACTGGTGTTAATTCCAAAATCATACATGGGTGGAATGTTTGTTCATGATGAACTTAATGGCAATGGGCATTTATTTTAAAATGACCTATTATATAACGGTACCTTTTATAATGGTGTTCCAAATGGGTATAGAAACTTATTATCCTAATGAAGCTTCATCGAGTGGTCTTGCTCAAAATAATGTTCCAAATGGAGCTTCCTCGAGTGGTCTTGCTTATGATAGTGTTCCAAATGAAGCTTCCTCGAGTGAGCTTGCTTATGATAGTACTATCATACGCAAGACCACTCAAGGAAGCTCCATTTGGAACACGTGTTCCAAATGGAGCTTCCTTGAGTGATCTTGCTCATAATAATGTTCCAAATGGAGCTTCCTCGAATGGTCTTGTTGATCATAGTTTTCCGAGTATAGCTGCTAAAACCGAACAACAAGTTAGTTATATTTCTATGTTTTAGATCTCTGCAGAGTTAAGTCACTACTATATATAAATGTTTATTTGGAAATTAGTAAATGTAATATAAGCACCAAACAGGATATTGAATCAATGAAAGTGTATGAAACTGTATGTATTGTAAAAAAATTGATTTATAAAAATTATTTGGTTAAAAGAGAAATCAGTAAGGAGTTCATTCTATCTAAAAAAATTATGCGCAATATACCGATTTAATTGTTTGTAATATTTTGATATCTATTTTTAGGACAATCGAAATCGCGCCAAAAAGTGAATAAAATGGTCGTATAATAGGTAAAAGGTTTTTCATATTTTACACTTATATTCAAACTTGACATCTGAGTATTCACGTGATCTCAAAAAGAGGGGATGAGAGATCCATACACTTTGATAACTAATATAGTAACTGTATTTAACAAGAAATTATAACACTTCATTCGTGTTAATCACATATCTCGAACTTGAAGAACGTAGTTCGCTTAAGATAGCTTGAATCTTTGACTTACACTTTCTTATCAGCACTTTACATGTATCTAAGCGCACGTAAGCAGTTTGAAAATAGTTTAAATCGAGAAAATTTTTAGACAGAAAAGCCTATCATCTGTAGAAAGATTTGCATTATGTTTTTGATAAATATTACAGAGACACTACATATCGCACAGGTAAAAAACAAAGTAACTTAGATCGATGATGTTGCCCTATCGATCTTGAGGAAACATTCCAGAAACAACAAGTTTTTCTGAGTATTCTGGCCGTTTACAATCTTACATGTTTGATCTGGAAACATCCACATTCAACAAAATCAACAGTTTTCTCAATGAAAAAAAAACTTGTGAGTTCTATACATTATAAGAAAAGTTCATTTTCACGAACACTCATTTATAATGTTCGTAAACATTTTTCACAGAATAAAAGCTTGTATAAACACAAGAAGTCTAACATCATATTTTTTTATCTATTTGTTCTTGAGACTGGTTTGCGTACTATTAAAAGCAGATAACTTGCAAAACGCACCAATTTATTCAGCATGCATCTGATTAGATAGGATTGTACGGACTCACTATAATTAGGGAAATAATTTCTCATGTTGAATTCTTTGTTTTTACTTATTGAGAAATAAGTTTCCTAATCTTTTTAGACGAGTCACGACAGCTTGCTGAGAGTCGTATAACAATGGAGTGGATTCGTGTTCCATTGGTATTGTGCAAGTTTATTGAATTGTGTCCCAAAACCTGTGGCTGAAGGTGCAGGTGAATCATCCTATTGCATAATAGCAAAAGATTACTACTATTACTATACTGTAACAAGAAAAGCAGGCACCTTACGAACTTTGAGATAAAATTGAAAATGTTTTTTGCTATTGTATGAGCCTGCGAAACCTTTTTTCTATTTAAATACTGTAGAGTTATGGCACTTTAAGAAAGTTTCGCTGGTTTTCACAACAGTTAAGGAAGGTTTCGAAATCTAAAATGAATTTGAAACATTTATTATTTTTTTTCAGAGTATGGTGATATTAACTGTGACAATACACAACAGCTCTGTGATGATCATAAAAAACAGAGAGTGCCGGTACCAATGGAAAATGACCATCTTCTCCGTCGCTATCTGAAAATAGATTTACTTTTAGACGATAGATTTTATTGCATGGCACTAGAAATTTGCAAGGTTTACGGTGCTCAATTGTCCTGGGAAACCTGTGAAGTACTACAAAATAGCAAGACTGGGAAAGTTCTTGAACAAAACTACAAAAATCATTCCGGTGTTGGATGTAATCCTGTGTGTCGATCACGGACACCCCACAACAACAACAACAGTGCATGGATAAACCGTTTCTCTTGAAAGTATATCAAGAATAAGCAAAATGTAGATCTCAACATGAACACTTGTATACTGTGAATTTCACCTATTATAGAACTCTTTTTGGGAGAATTTTTCAAATTAGTTCTTTTCCTTGTGATTTGGCCTCTTTGTAATGCATATCTCTCCATAGTGGATATTTTCAAACGCTTTCAAAAATATTTATTATAAAAAATTTTTAACATATGACAATAAATAATGCGAGTAGTAATAGTTTGCTATATACAATATTCATACAAAAGTAAAAATTAAGTATGGCTACATTTCTATGATCATTATTCACTTAATCAACAACTGACTTCTTGTAATCGAAGTTAAGAAACATCGATGGTGAATTATGGTAGGAAGGAATCTTCTCACTTCTATAGCTAATCAAAAGATAGAAAGAAAGAGAGAGAGAAAATTAACTTACCATAGAAGTATTCAAACTTTTGGATTATGATGATAATTATTTTTGTAATTGAGTAGATTTTGTTTACTTTATTAGACTTGAAACTATTCATTGTTGTATGATCTTAATAATATTTAGAGACTTTGACATACAGTAAAATCTCTCGAATATCATCCCCATTGGGACCTACCAAAACTGCTCACTTTACGGAGGTGATCATTACTGGGAGGTTTCCAGTTTCTTTTGTGTCTAATACAAGTATTCACTTTCAATCGTACAAAGTGACCTTTTTGTTCTTTCCAATAGTTTAAGATCTTGTTATAGAATGAGATAGCAACCTGGTGGCATGACAACAGAACGGAATAAAAGAATAATCCTCTCTTACACAGAATTGAACCAGCGTCTTCTATTTACCGGGCAGCTGTATTACCACTATCATAGAAAGAATGCTCTCTATCCGTCTTATTACCGAAGGAAAACATCTCACAATGGAAGGGTATGTACTGTTGAGCAGAAAGATTGATCATATTCGGGTCAAATGATCACTTTCACCGAGAAACTAACGAATTTAAAATATGATATGTCCATGATGTACTTGGACAAAGATCCTTGAATCTCAAGGTATGTGAAATTTAGGT